TCTTCTCGAAAACCCCGTCTTAGTCATCTAAGAGCTCCAGTAACCGACACTTCAACCTGACAGTCTGCAATTTAGCATGGATTAATATTTAATCGCCTTCAAGGAAAGAGAGTTGCCACAGCATGTAGTACTTATAATTTCAGGGTCGATCTGGACATTGTCAGGCCCCGGAGCTAGCTTGACATTGGGGCCACCTCGGTTTTGCCTGGGACGCTAAAAGAGCCTCGCAAAAAGGTTACTTAGTGACGGAAATAGCGCAGTATAGCCGTTCAACAATGCGTCGTGGTAAAATATGAAATATTTTGCCTAGTCTAAAAATTCGAAAAGTGCCGAGAAATGCGAATGGATGGAAAACATCGGTGTCGCCAATTACTGTCCGAAAATGAGACTAAGGTGAGGCGTGGCAAAAAATTATAAATCAAAGTGAAAGTTCACATTTTCGACGGTACACGATTCACCCTAATCGGTCTGATCACTTTGCAAAATTCGTTATTAAATCTTACAATTTATATCCTGGAAGACGTATGACGATTTTCGAATTTTCCAATGTTTTCAGGTCCTCTTTTCGCCGGTGGGGCGTTCCGGGCGTTCGGTCTTTTCCGCGACTCGCGCGAGCGACCCGAAAGGACACGAAAGGAGGCGAGAGAGATACGCGTAGAGCAGCGAGACGGGGATCTTTGCCTTGCCCGGGGCACGAACGAAGGCCCTTCTTTCCTCTCGAAGGCCCCACATGACTCAACCTTATTATTATTGCTAGGCCGTGCACACCGAGGCAACCGGCGCGCGCCTCTCGCCCGTCTCGTCCCTCTCTCTCTCTCTCTCTCCCTCGCCTTCGCTCCATTGACGATCAGCTGACTCGCGATCTCTGTCGCGCGCGTGCCGACCTACGCACCGGCATCGAGGAGCCGCCGTTAGTAGAATTTCAAACTATGTGTGGGTCTCGACTAGGAAGTGGAGATCACGAGCTAGCACACTTCGACCATTCCCAACTCCTCAGGGACTTTTAAGAGGTTGTTCCTGACGCATCGCTCGGGACACCCCATGAGTCGCCTAAGGGATGAGATTCAAAGAACCCGTCGAACCTCGACCCCGTTGCCGAAGAGCGGTGCACGTGAATTCGTCACTAATTGTCGCTAACAGAATTTCAAAGTATGTGTGGGTCTCTAGGGAATCAAGATCATGAGCTAATGCACTTCGACCATTCCCAACTCCTTAGGGACGATTAAAAGTTTGTTACCGATGCTTTACCCCGGACCCCCCGAGACACCCTATGAGTCGTCTAAGGAACGAAACTCGAAGAGGACATTGAACCTCGACCGTGCTTTTGAAGAAGAACGGTGCACGTGAATTCGTCACGTGAACTCGTTGCTAACTATCGCTAGTAAACTTTTAGACTATACATGGGTCTCGAATGGGAAGCGGAGTTTATGAGACAACACTTTTCGATCATTCCCAACTCCTCAGGGACGTTTAAGGTGATACGAAAGAGGCATCTAAGAGATCCATCACTTATGAAACTAAATATGAGAGCTCTAAAGAAGATCCCGATAATCATCAAATTTCATTTTTCTTCCATTTCTTTATAAGCATTTAAACATTTGCTTAGAATACTGAAACTTTATGGTTGTCAGGACCTCCCTTACAGCCTCCGTATTCACGTGGTAAAATTATAAGCGATTCGGTACACCCAATTAGAAAAAAAACTTATGTAACCCTGCGGACTTTGGTTGGTCCCTCGAATGCCACATTCGTATTACCTTATGAAATTACGAACGCATCACCCCAGATCACCCGAAACACCCCACGAGTCGAGTGAGAGGGTCAAAACTCAAAGAACGTGTCGATCCTCTCGCTGCAATCGCGTTTTCAGAGATAAGTGGTTTACACTTACTCGTCAGGAAAACGCAGGACGAAAAACGTGGAAAAACGTTTCCCGTTGTCCCTGCACCCACGACAGTAAATTTTACGAGATGACTCGTTAACCGAGCTCATAGCGTTTCTCCTAATGAATAACACCGAGATCCTCATAGGGATTAGCAACACCGGATGAGGCTTCTGTCGCGGTGCTTCTGCTTTTATTACCTGGCTTTCCCCATACACCCCGTGTAATTCCGCATTCCTCCCGCAAATACATCTCGTGCAAAACGTACCCTTTAGAACCATTCCAAATGCACAGGATTACGTACGACAATTCAGGTCGGTAGGGAGCGAAAAACAGGAGCAGAGTACCGAGGACATCGTGACTCCGAGTCGTCTACACGGTGCACGGCACACAGGAGAATTTCTACTCCGTTATCCCCGTCTACTATTAGCCCTGTGTTTACGTACAGTCGAGACAGAACGCACCTTCCTCGTCGCTTTTCTCCCTTCCCCACCCTCTGCACGCTCTCTCGCTCGGTCACACAACTGGCCAACAGGAAAACACACGGACACGCGATCTACGCACACATAGAGCTCATGGAAATTCGCCACGTGATTCCCGGTACCGTTTCCCGTTTCCTGCTTCACCTGCGGCTGGACAGAATTTCCCTGCGACCTTAACCATCGACATGACCTAACCTCTCGTTTGATCATCGAAGCGGCATCTTCGAGCCCCCGATCTTCTGTCGCCGATGCCTGTACCGGATAGCCTATATGTACCTAAATCTTACGAGTCGACCGACCTCGGTTTCTACGATCGTCATTACGCCTCCCAAGGTGCGAACGCTCGTCGGCCCTGACTACGCGACGAGTATCTTCGAGAAAACCCTGTACACTGCTCGTAATTGCAAATACAGCATACACAGCGCAAGAATTCTTCTCTCGAGGTTTCTCGCTTGAATCGTCGCGGATGCATCGCATCCTCGCTTTATATCGCATCCTTAGGTCGTTGTCGCAGAATTTTCGCGCCCAAAGTCGACATCCTCTCTGTACTTTCAGAGGTAACGAAAACACGTCCTCGCTAATGAATATTAAAAAAAAAAATCCTGTACATCGCTCGTGCTTACAAATACAATACGCACCGTGCAATAATTCTTTTCTCGAGTTTCCTCGCTCGAATCGTCGCGGATGCATCGCATCCTCGCTTTATATCGCATCCTTAGGTCGTTGTCGCAGAATTTTCGCGCCCAAAGTCGTCATCTTCTCTGTACTTTCAGAGGTAACGAAAACACGTCCTCGCTAATGAATATTAAAAAAAAAAATCCTGTACATCGCTCGTGCTTACAAATACTGTGCACATCGTGCAATCATTCTTTACTCACATCGTATCCTCGCTTTATAACGCATCCTTAAGTTGTTATCGCAGAATTTTCACTCCTAACCCCGATGTCCTCGGTGTAGCTACTTTCAGAAGTTACAAAAACGCGCCCTCGCCAATAAATATCTTTAAAAAATCGTATGCATCACTCGTAATTGCAAAAACAGTATAGGGTGAAGTTGGGTAAATTGTACCGGGTTTACAAAAATGCCAATAGAAATGTTTTTGGTAAGATGTTTTAGTAAACGAATTCATATTTCATTTACCTGTGAAACTCTGCATGCAATATACACACATGCAAATGCATAAATGCTATTTAACACGGTAGACATTCAAATAAAATATTCCTTATAACGGTACGATTTAACACTATTTCTACCAAAGGTGTCAAAAGACACCTTTTAAAATTTTAACTTGAAATTATTTTCAAAGTTTAATAATTTTTTCTCAATTAATGTTTTGAGTTTTCGTATAATAATTGTTAAATTTATTTAGCGGTATCATTTTCCTCCAGCTCATCAAAACCTTTTGGTCGAAATAGGTATACACAAAATCGTAGTAGAAATAGTGTTAAACAGGGATTAATTTAAAGTACATTAAACAGCTTATCTGGTAAATCGTCCTCTTCTGTTATAATAAGGTCGGATAATTTGTACCACATACGAGAAATGGATTCAAAGCAAAACATTGACCATATAAGTAAAATTCGGAAAAGAAAATTGATTACATAAATCATATTTTACTACAAAAAATGAATATGTAGAATTCAGTAGATTTTACATTAGCGTATTTTTCATGAAACTACTTTTTACAATTTAATGGTTTTTCTCATTTCTTAGGATAACCATGTTCTACGATTCTTTTTCATGCCATTTCTAAACAGAATCACGTTTATCGAAGGATGCCTATTTAGATAACCAAAGTTTTGACTTAATGAACACAGTTGGGTTAATTGTACCGGGACGAATTACCGATTATGTGGTGGGACAATATTTTCGGTGGGAGTTGTTTTCAGTTTTCTAATTTTTAAAATGTCCGTTTAGGTTTATGCAAAAGGCAATGTATTTGCATGGAAATTAAATTAACTTTTTAACAATTATTAGTGACAATTTTTTAACGTACCCCATATGGGGTAATCGGTTAGAAACGATATGGCAAAATTAGTAACGCGTTAGCAAACTAATATAATATGCCTTTGACTTTAGTATTCACCGATGCTGCCACCAAATAGTTAGGTATGAACAAATGTTGCAAGCTTGAGCATCATTTTTCAGTTATATGGCCATTGCTTAGGGTATGTTCTTACATATGGTAGTGGTACAATTTGACCGACGGTACGATATCCCTTACTTTACCCTACACCGCGCAAAAAATCTCTCGCGTTTTCTCGCTTGAATCGTCGCGGATGCATCGTATCCCCGCTTTATATCATATCCTTAGAATTTTCGCGCCTACCGCCGACGTTCTCGGCGTACTCTTGGGGGTGAAGAAGACGCACCCTCACCAACGAGCCATGTTTCCCGGGGCGTCGAATCTCGCGGTGCGCCGAGAAACCGAGGTTATGGTTCCCGCGAGTGCATTAACCCTCGAGCATACTAAGTATAGAGCCGGATATAGGAGAGTACGAGCACCGTAGCGGGTAATCGCGGCGTCGAGGGAGGGTGGGCAACGGGGGGCTCCGACTTTCTCCGGAGAGCGAAAGTGAGAGGGCCCCGGATCGCGTACCGCCCTCCTCTGGCCCTCCCCTCCCGCACCCCCCGTCCCGCGGCTTGCTTTCACCGTGTCGCGGTGCCGCGATGCACTTTTGCGACGTGAAAAATCCTGGAAATTCATTAAAGCCGCTCCGGAGCTCGACCTCGCCTGAGAAGGAACCCCTCTAAATATGACTCCACCGTAGATTAATCACGATTTACGTAAACAGACAAACAAACAAACTTGATGAAATAATTAATTCGCAAAAACGAGATTTCTGTCATCGATATCGGCGCAGTACCTTCTCGGGCAAGTTCAACAATTTTTACACCTTTCATATAGAGGGGTGTAAAGTCATTTTATCCACAGAGTACGTTCCATTCGCATGATTCGCATAATTCGCACGATGCTCGATTAGCCGTCTTATTCTCGCGAGTCGCATTCTACGCGTTAATGTTGGCTTAAGTAAAACTGGTAAATCCAATGCTTTAGGGAGACTCGTAAAAATCGGATAGAAAAGTGCAACGCGTCCCGCGGAGGGTCGCCGGCGCGAGGTGCTCCCCATGGCGGAAGTGTCGACACCATCGGCGAGGCCGGCCGCGATCGGGGACCACCCATACCGCACGTAAATACGTAAATACGTGAAGAGTGCGTACAAAACGCATACTTTATGCCGGGACTTTTCGTTATACGAGCGTTCCCACGAGGCGCTTCTCATTAAGCCCTCGGCGCCGCGGGTGAGCGCACCAGGTGGAGTCGCGTCGTAAAGCGACCAGGGTGGTCGCCGATTCCCGGATCGACGGCCGATCCAGATCGAACGGGAGCCCGCCCTCAGCCGATCTTGACGACGACGGCGACCTGCTCGCCCCGGATCAACAGCTGCGGGACGTGGCGCTCCAGAGTCTCCCCCTTAGCGTCGGTCCGTCTGACGATCACCTTCGGCATCTGGGGCCGGGCACTCGAATCGGCCGCGAGACCTGTCGGGCCACAAGGGAGAACGTACCAATTAGAAAGATCCTCTGCGATCTTCCGCGCGCGTATGCGCGGACTTTCACGCGCAGGGCCCCTTGAAAATTCGCAACGCCGCTTTTACCTGTGGGTCGCCGTCAGGCGTCGGAAGGCAGTTGGTCGTGCGCCTGCGTGGCGCGCGCTCGATGCATGCGGACGGATCACCCCCCTCCGTTCTTCACCCTTATTCATCCTGTTTTTGTATTTCTATTTATCTTTTATTTAATTCCCTAGGCCCACAATCAACGATCGGCAGACGGGGAGGAGCCTTCCGAGATATGGGGTAACCTCGCGAGGCGTCGCACGAGCGACTCGCCGAGTGGCCAGGATCCGCGCGGACTCGCGCCCGGAATGGGGGGGGTGAGGGGCGCGGTTCGGCGAATTGCGAAAACGCCCAGCGGGTCGAGGCGCGAGCCAAAAGACGCGCTTGTTTATATCGGGCACGTGTCCGCCGAGATCGGGTGGGTGGCGGACCCTCCGGGGCGAGGGGGTGGGCGGAGGCCGCGACACGTGTACCGCCGACCATCGATCCTGAACCGCTCTTCAAGGTCGACGCAGCCACCACCCGACCAAGACCCTCCGCGACCCGCCCAAAGTACGTCAGTAGGCCAACTACCCCTCTCTCCCTCGTCGCCCATCGCACTGCACCCCGTAACTCACGGGGTAAACCGACATCGGCGTTGTCGTTGCCTCGACGTTGCCCCGCGGCGTTGTCGTTGTCTCGACGTTGCCTTGGTGTTGCCCAGCCGTTGCCTCGATCAGCGGAACGCTCGCGACGCTCGTTTTCGCTTCTGGACGGAAATTACGGTTTCTCTCGAGATGAAGCCGTTTTCGATGAAAGTTGTTCCGCGAGTTATTGCCGTCTCTTTTGTAAGACGCGTTTCTCTATCGGGCACTGATAAACCGGGTGATGGGTGTCTATGCATCGAGGGAAAAATACATTATCGATGGGAATAGGAATCCTTGCGGCGAAAAGATCTTCACTTGATATTATCGGTGAAATATGGTTTGGGGTTGGGGAAATGAAACTAACGCGAAGTTCAAACGATGTTTAATTATCTTTTCAGCTTTGTTTCGCGAAGGTTTTCTTATTCGTTAGGCGGTGAATTTTTTGGGTATACGCGTCTTGGAAGAATGAGTAGATTCGCTGTAAAATGTGAATGTTTTAGGAGTTGGTAACATTCTTGTAGAAAAGTAGAAATTACAACATTCTATTCGAAATGAGAAATTAATATTTTTCCCTTAATGGCTCAGGAAACTATTGCAGACCAGTATTGTACAGGATATTTTTTTTCGCGGCTAGTTTCCCTTGGTATAAAACTGTCGTTATTTAACTTGAACGCCAATGACTTCTACAAGATAGTAATTTCTTTGATAAGAAATATTTTGAACGTTGTAAGTTATTAATTTCGCCTAGAATGTAAATTTCTTGTTTACTGAGGATCATAATCGGGCGAGATCTTAACGCGAATGGGATGATTTTTGCATCTAATTATTTCGTATTTTAGAGAAATTTGCAATTAAATCCATCGAGGACGAGTTCATCTCTCGGTTTGCTCATATGCTTCTGGAGACATTAATTTGGCGTCCGTGGGCAAAGAAGCGAAGAAAATAGAGCATCGCGGGAGTCCCCGGTCGATCCTAATACGAATGAAACGGATCGGTCATTCTGTCACTAATCCGACGTTTAATCGGCGGAAGTATTAATCAGTATTCATTCACTATGCTCCTTTTGTCGACGGCCACGCGCAACGGCAATTACGCCGGTACCTTGAGTGCCCGTTCGATTATGCGTTATTTTTAATCGATAACTGAAAGCGGGATTAACGATTCGTTACGACTGCGGGGCGGTGGAATCGAAAGTTTGTATTCTGGCCACGATTAAACTGCACCCGTTCGGTTCTCTTATTGCGCCGGTGCCCGGTATTGCAGTTCGTCGAGTACTTGTCCTTGCAAGACAATTACCACGGATATAATTATTACAAAGACAAGTACGAATTTAAAATTCCGATCTAACTAAAAACTGGAGTTCCTCGGCTATGTATCACGCCGTTAGGAAAAGAAAAAAGAAGATAAAAAGAACACCTACATATCTGCACTCGCAATGAATCTTGAATTCATTTATTTTTCATATCGTCAGTTCATAACGTTACATAATGACACGGCGAGTAGTTATAATGGATTTTTTTTACAAACCTCGCGAGTGATGATTTCTATAAATGGATTTATGCAAAAATGGAAAGAAGAGGAAAAAAATGAAACGGAACGATTTGTTCGGCGTTCTTAAGCGCTCGAGGGGAAGACACCTCCAGACCGCGCGAAGCAAATTTGAGGTGATTTTTAGCACGAGGGGGAGTCGGGTAATTTTGGAGGCCCGCGAGGGTCGATCTAACTTCGGATATGGGGAAGGGGTGATCACCTCCAGAGGGTGACGAAATAAGAAGGAGAAGTTAGATGGCGGGGAGTGAAGATGCGAGGAGTAAAATCGCGGAAAGGAGCTCGAGCCGGGGTGGGAGGGTGCGAGGGGTGGCGACAGAAAGAGAGAGATATACGGGGCCACGTGGACCTCGTATCGAACGTAGCTATGCCTTGACTACGTTGTCAAGGTCGGTCCTTGCCCCAACTTCGGACTCGACCCTTAAGGCGTATCTTCAAGCCGCGCGCGCAATGACACGCGCGCTCTATGCTTCGGGATAGATTAAGGAAATGACTTTTTTCGTTTCCATTTAATATCCCTAGAGAAAGTTTTCAACTTGTTCATTTTTGCGAATAATTAGGAGATTTTTAAAATACCTTCTATGGTCATATCTGCGGCTGTCATTAGTTGACAGATAAGAAAAAATTGACATTTCGTTAAAGAATGCATCCTCAACATTTGGCGAAATATCTAACCCAAGGTATATGGTCGAACAAACCGTGATGAATTTTTACATTTGAAAGATCGATTTAAATCGATTAAAAATAAAGACGGGGACAGGTTCGGACAGTGGAATTTTTTTTTGCAATTAGTAACATCATGGTTGATCCTTATGCCTTGATGACGTTGTCAAGGTCGGTCCTTGCCCCGAGTTCGGACTTGACCCTTAAGCCGTATCATCAAGATGCGCGCGCAACGACACGCGCGCTCTCTGCTTTGGGTCAAACATCCAACTATTCGGGTAGACTGAGGAAATGACTTTTTCTGCTTCTACTTCATACCGCTGAGGAAATTGTTCATCTAAACTATTTAATTTCCATGAGTAATTGGAAAATTTATGAACATCTGCGATGGTCATATCGTCAGCTGCCGAGAATTGATAGATAAGTAAAAATTGACATTTCGTTAATGATTGCTTCTATGGCCTTCGGTTTAATGATATCTATTCGAATATGTTCGATCGGATGATCCGTGATGAATTTTTCTATTCCAAAGACCAATCTAAACAGCGCGAGGACACGTTTGGACAGTGTAAACATTTTTTACGCAATTAAGAACAACACAGTTGGTGGTGGCAGGTGTATTTGATCAAGACCATGAGCCGAAGGAGATAATATCATTATAGGGATGACATCGATGCGTAAAGTATTAAAAAAAGATCCCAACCTTCCTATCTTACCTAAGTCGCTCCTTCCCCCCTGCATCCTTAAAATCGAATCATTTTTAAAGGTCCATGTTGAGTCCCCCATTAACCTTACATCAGTCCAGTAAAATCACGTCGCGTTATCGGGGCTCGGTTCTTACGTCGGCCAGGAAAGCAGGTCGTAAAAATCGCAATTTTTCGCATTATTCTGCGTTTATTTTCTTGCGATTAGTCAGTTACCTCCTGCCACTCGACGGTACAGATAGGTCTGTCCTTACGCAATTTATTTTCCTTTTTCTTCTCTCCTGATGAATGTCAATGAGAAATTTCTCGGCGAGTTAATTTGGCGGGGAAGGCCTCTGTGCTTTGTGAAAATTCGAAGAAAATACGGCCTTTCATGGAAATCAAAAACGAGGGCGATAGTTACACTGAGAGTCGTCGGTGTGCAGTGGTCGTTCATTGAAACGACTAAGGATCGGGAGTCATTCATGGCCAGTCGATGCCGGTGGTACGATAAGACTTATCCATACTGGGAGCTCTCGAAGAATCAGGAAATCGAGTCGCCGCTAAGGCACACGGAAATCGCCGACTGATTTTCATCCGCAAATACACATCTTTCGTCGGCGTTAGTTTTCAACTAAACTGGAATTTTCCGGCCGCCCTTGAATAGCCGAAGGCAACCTCTGCGATTTCTACATTCGTCAACGAGAGAGACCGAGTCGCTCAATGTCGCTGCAACACCGAAACGATACTCGATGCTATCGACGGTCAATGATTACACAGACGCTGACTTACACAAACTGTAAAAGCAAAACTATAACTTGGAAACGACTTCGTCAGCAGCGATAACGCGAACGAGCCGAAGTAATTAAAAAAAAAAAACGTCAATGATTTTTTCCATATTTTTTTGACTAGCATTCTTTACAAAATATTAAGACGATATAAAAGTGGTGTTTGAGGAGCCTCTTCCATGAGACTTTTCCCCGAACAGGGTGCAACAAATCTTTTGAATTTTTACCACGTCAATATGGACGCCCTAAGGACGATCCTAACGCCCATGAAATCTGAAATTAAAAAATTTATTTATGACCATTGTCAAAATTGTTATAAAAAATGAAATCCTAAAGGGACAGAACCTTTCCTAAGGCCTCCATGATCACTTTGCGGAAGAAGTTGCATAAATGATTGACCCCTCATATTCATGTCGCCTTAATATTTAACCGACTTAACCGAAATCATCAATTATGGACCCCTCTAAAGAAAGAAGATTCGTTAGCTCCTCATTTCCCCGAATTTCTTTGAGCTTGTTAAATTTTCAGCATCGCTGTTTGATTGGCAAAAATAAGCAAATAAGGCAATGAAATTCATCACAAAATTTTAAGATGATATAAAAGCGGCGTTTGAGGAGCCTCTTCCATGACACTTTTCCCCCAACAGGATGCAACAAATCTTTTGAATTTTTACCACGTCAATATGGACGCCTTAAGGACGATCCTAACGCCCATGAAATCTGAAATTAAAAAGTTTGTTTATGACCATTGTCAAAATTGCTATAAAAAATGAAATCCCAAAGGGGCAGAACCTTTTCTAAGGCCTCCATGATCACTTTCCGGAAGAAGTTTCATAAACGAGTGACCCCCCATATTCATGTCGCCATAATATTTAACCGACTTAACCGAAATCGTTGATTATGGACCCCCCTAAAGAAAGAAGTTTCGTTAGCTCCTCATTTCTCTGAATTTCTTTGAGCTCGTTAAATTTTCAGCATCGCTGTCAGATTGGCAAAAATAAGCAAATAAGCCAATGAAATTCATCTATTTAGCCTTTTTCGCGTATCTGCGGTTCGACATTAGAGGAGACTAACCAGGTTACGCCAAAATCGCGCGGTGTTCGGACATCCAACGTTTCCTTTGTCGCTCGGTCGGAAGCTGGTTAAAAATAGCCAAGATATTACGATAGTCAAGACAAGATAGAATTTCCCGGACACCCGTTACGCGCTCGCCGATAGACCGCTAGAATCCGCGAGTGATAAATACGTGTGCGCACGCTCGCCGAGTGTATTTCGAGGTCAGGCAGATTAATACAAAGATACCGTGCACATTAAGCACATTTATAAATTGACGCGCGTCGCATTGATCGTTGCAGCCCTGAGCCGATGACAAATTGGCCGTGGAATCGGTGGACCGAGCGCTCATGAAAAAGCGGCATCCTTTGCTTTCCCGAGGTCCAGCATGGACGCTAGATCCTGAATTTGACGCCATTCCTAATATCTCCACAAAAGCGACATCATAAATTGGTCCTTGAAGAATCCGGATCCAAAACGCCGTCTTCTACTAATCGAGGACATGAAAAAAACGCGTGCAGATGAAATTGTAACCCCTCCTGGTCGCCTTCACAAAAGTCCCCAGGGACGAGGCTCGACTAATCTCTCGTTAATAAAACGTAGTCGCACAAAGCAGATTCCTGCTTCGGAGTAATTATACTCCGAGGACGACGTCCTTCTCTACGGCGAGGGCCAGCTTGTCGGGTGACAAGTCATGACTATGACGCGGCATCTCCTAATATCGCCGCCTAGGACATCAGACGCTGGTCATCCGAGGATAAAGCTCGAAAGTAACGTCCATGTTCATCCATAACGCATAGGACTTCGAAGGGAAATCCGAACCTGAGTATCTTCCCAGGAAAGTGTTAAAGTATTAAAGTTATAGAAGAGAATGAGATGAGGACTCAATAATTTCGTGATAATTTGTGGGAATGATCCTCAGCCCCGTATGGGGATGAGAAGGAGACGTGGCCATGTTTTGTAGGATAGCCCCCGGGGAAATGGACTCAACCTTATACTTAACCGAGAGCAGGTGCCTTCCTCTTGATCTTGCGGGTCCAAACCTCCAGGCAGTCCTCCAGAGCCAGGTTCCAGTGCTTATCAAAGGCCACCACGTATGCTTCCACGTGGCCTCTGACACCGCGCTCGCTTCTGGTGTAGACCTTCGCATAAAGGACATACGATTCCTTTTAAATCCGTGCCGCGAGCGAGCGCGCCAGCTTCCCGGTATAGCTCTTACGAGAAATCGCGTAAATATCCAGACCTTAATTATCGAACAGCGACGGCGGTTCTCGATCCGCGGGGAGCGGGCATGACGTGGGAAAAAATTCTACTTAAAAATGGAGCAAGACCAGTCCAAAGGACTAGCTTGTGTGGATAACTTTTAGCCCGAACTTCTGGATTCCCTATAGAAAATCACGGAACCCACCCCAAGACGACCCTTGCAACTCGCGTTTCTTCTTCGGGTCGCATAGAGTCGGGTCCCAAGAAATTCTTTCGTCGCCATTTCGACGGTTTCACCGGAAAACCCTCGAAAGTCCTATAAGTCTAGTTTTTTAACCCTATAAATGGGGATATTAACATCCTTTGTTTTTTGTTACTTTTTTTTTCAAACTGGTTTTACCCTTTTCTGTAACGCCTAGATAGGCGGCCGAAGGTTTCTCAGGAAATATTTTAGCGGAGCATTTATTTTCATTCGGCGTCTGTATTTAAAGAAACTAGGGAAAATGAAACGTAGGACGGGGAAAAGTGGGGAAAGGGGCATTAGGAGGAGGTGTTGAACCGGGAATGGGGGTTTTAAACGGCCGAGCGTGATTACGCTCGCACGACACGAGGTGTATCGACAATTTCTCGATTCTCGGAAGAGATTAAACGGGAGAAATTCATTTTGTCGCTTTTCTGCCCGTTCCGACCTAGTGGATACTCCCAGAGGACACGTCGCGGTAAAAAAAGTCCTCCCCCCCCCCCACCTCTCGTCGTCCGAACACGACACCTCATCGACCAACTCGCGGAGACATTAGGGTAATGACTTTATCGGCGACTATCGTTCGCACGAATTACGCTATCGGCTTCTACGTGATACTAGAAAAACCTGGTAGGGAACAACCTCGAACGTAAAAATTAGCCCCAAAACACCATCCTTTGTGGTGTTTTGGAATTAGATCCCACCAAGATTTTCTTCATCCCAAGGAAAATTAAAAAGTACTCCCTACCACATAATACCTATACCTAGGTGAAGCGTAGTTAATTCATGTTTGGAGACTCAAAAAAATATCACTTCAAGACAGGATAAAAATGATACAAGAAAAGGATAATAATTCCATATTAGCAATGGCTGGACTTTAAAGATGACAAGGCACATGCGGTGTATCCAGAATTGTGTAAATTAACCTCGGACCAGACTGTTCAAAGAAAATTCATGTTTTCAGTTCGCAGAATAAATTTTGCAGCAAAGAGAGTATATCCTTTCTTTTTATCTTTCTCGTAATATGTCTGTCCTGACTTAAGCAAGTGCGCGCGCGCGCACACTCGGCAATCGCGCTCACCGTCCGGCAACAATTATACTTAATGACTCTGGTAGCTCCGCAGCGGCCGTTTGTTGTTATTACGTATGCCGCGGGGACAAGATAGCGGGGTGATACGCGGAAGTGCACGTCGAGGCAAGGCCCCCTTCAATGCCTTTCCACTGGATATATCGAGTTTATTATAATAAAATTGATATACACGAGCGCCATCTGACGGCCGCCTCGCGAGCTAATGGCGCATTGGGAGGGAAGAGCAGCGCGCGTGGGAGTTACCGCACACGGGGCTTAGTGATATGAGTCGAGTCTATGAAATCGTGTAGTCCATGGATCGAATGTCGAGTTCCGAGGGAGTCTGAAGATGCGAGATGACGGGTCCTTGGCATCGAGGATGGGTGTCCAGACATCGTTTACTTCGTCAAAAAAGGAGAAGGAATGTGGAGGGTCATTCTTCGATGCTGGGCAAGATGAAGAATTGTAACTGAAAATTGATTACGCAATATTAAGGTGATATAAAAGTGTCATATATACATACCAAAAAGTCAAAAGATTGATCAAACTTTTCTCCAAATTGGGTGTACCGAATCATTTGAAACTTCATCGCGAGATTATGGAGGCCCTAAGGAAGAACACAATGCTCGTAAAACTTCATTTTTTATAAAAAAACTTTTCCTTATTTAGCCTAGACTAGAACTAAAATCACATTTTTTTGTGAAAAATGAAATTTCACGAGCATCGCATTCTTCCTTAAGGCCTTAGGGCATAATTACGTGCTGAAAATTCAAATTATTCGGTGCGCCCAATTTGGAGAAAAGTTTTATAAATATTTTCACGTCTTATACATGTAGAATGACCCTTTCATATCGCCTTAAGGTGACCCGAAAAGGGTCAATCGCTTATGAAGCATTTCTTCGAATTGATGTACCGAATTTTTTTAAATCTATCCGCGAAAACATGGAGACCCTAAGATTCTGCCACCCATGGAACGTCATTTATTATAACAAATGAAAAATTATTATAAATAAATAAAAAATGATATTTCTTGGGTATCGGGACCTTCCTTAGAGCCTCCATATTCGCATGGTAAAGTTTCAAACGATTAAGTATGCCCAGTTTCATAAACGAAACCCTCAAATTTCACTTTCGTATCACCTTAACGCTTATACAGAAATTGGGTTACTTTGACCCAATGTCATCATATAAGAAATCTGTACTTTACATATCCTACAATCTTGCGCAGGTAATGCAGCTAATAATTGTAGAAAAGGAAACAAATGTGACTCTATTTTCTGAAGAGACATCTTTAGTACTCGTACACAATTACGATAGGACGACGTTCGGTAAAAGAGATCCTATTTCCTTTTAATTGCTAAGTTAGAGCGCTTTTTACGGCGTCGCGAAAATAATTCCTCACCTTCAATCCTTAGTACCCGTTTCCCGATAGGACATGCGAGGGAAGTGACCTTGATTTCTGATTCTAGTCCGGTCGTCGGTTTCGTTTTCAAGCCGAACGTGCAAATCCACGCGCAAACGGTAGTACTCCTCGTGAGTAGGTCGACGCTTTAAGCGCCGCTACTATTCGTTTCCATTTTCTCTCCCGACCCAAATTTCAAAGCCTCCGTCACGCTTCTATATGTCTGGCTCGGTCGACTCGGAGTCCTCTCGCTTTCGATATATGAAAATAAAAGGAGCGACCCTGCCGCGACGATTAGTCACGGTGGGATAAGGACGTCGTTAGATAGCTATCTGTACATAAATGCCCGTCGGTGGAGGAGTCGAGGGGTGAATCAGAAACGCACCCTCGGAACAAAGCTGACCGAAGGTTTCGGCGAGGTCACCGCTTCGGTCATTTGCTCCAAATTCACCGAATCACGAAGACGGGGCGGAGGGTGATGTCGCGACTCGAGAGTCTCTCGAGTCGCGACATCACCCTCCGCCCCGTCTTCGTGGCATAAACAAAACAAAAATAAAGTCGATTCAACCCCAACGAGTGAAAAATATAGATCGATTCTAGGGTGAAACACGAAAATACAACACACGTACCCCGCAATCCTAACTAATCGCTTAATATTTTAGATAGGCATTGCCATACTGCGTTACGCAACTCTACCATCAAAAAAGAAAGAGCCAAGAAAGCCCCCTTGTTACCCCTCTCTCAAATCCGCCATTTTCGCGGTCAGATCAATGTGCGGCATCCATGCTATAAAAATACCCGAGATTCTTAAAAACAACTCTTTATCGTGCAAAATCTCAGCTTCGTATACATTGAGAAAAAAGATTAGTCGACCGAAATAAATATATATATCGTCGCCTGTATCATACATAATTGCAAGGGACAATTATTTCGTTGAGAAGAAAAATTATATCGTTAATTTAAACGAATTTTGTTGTAGCAATGTATATTTCTTTGAGTCAACCAACTTTTTTCCTCAGTGTAACAGTTGCTACCTGATTCCAATTTTGACAGCCTCTTAGCCGTCGGTGGACTAACGTTAGCCATTCTCGAGATAAGCGCGCCCAAGGTATGCGATATGTTACAATGCACCCCTCTTCCATGGGATAGAGTTTCATCTCGAAACGCGACTCGGACGAGAGCAAGCCAAATGTTGCGCCAAGTCGAGAGGCGAGGTCTACGAGCGACTCGGAAGTCGTCTCCCTCGAGTGGAGCGGCCGTCGCGAGTGACTCGGGAACGAAGTCGCGACTCGGGCGCGAACCAGGAAGAAAGCCGGCCAACGGTCGGGCTTCGGGGGGTGTGACCTTGCCTACCGCGGGTGGTGCGGGGTGGCGCGCGGCCGGGGCGGCGGGGCGCCCGTAACCATGGCTACGAATGTTGACCCTGCCGCGCCGCGCTAGTCTCGAAGGGCTTACACGCGCCCGCGAAAGTGTGTCACGCAGCGAACGGCACAAGGCGAACTGGCGCGCATGCGCGGGCCGCGCGCTCGTGTGCCTCACACGCGCGCCGGGGTGAAGCACGTGGACGCCCATCGCCGGCGGGTGCGGAGCGCGCCCTTCGCGAATCTTGCGAATCCGCGCCACTTGCCGGGGGACGAGGCCAGCCACCTGGCCCGGGGTGAAGGACGAAACGTACCGAGGGTCGCCGTTGTCTCATACGAGGAAATTACTCGCGGTGTTCCCCTCATCGACCCTGCCGATCTTGTTATTACGTTCCATGTCGAAACGTCGGATAAAAAAAGAGTACACGTCCGATATGTTTACCCTCCATGTCACGCACGGCAGCTTCGCGAAAATCGGCGAAAAACGAGAGAAAAAAAACTCCAGGGTGGCGCAGATTGATGAAATGAAATATGTTGAATTGGTTAGATATTTATTGGTTATTTAGTACTTATTTATTAATTACCTTAACTCGGGTTCTGTTCTCCATGTAGGTATAGAGCATCCCAAGTGGTCCCAGACTCTTCTCCATCTTGGCGAAGAGGTTCTTGTCCTCGTTCCTCCTGCCACGACCTTTTCCTTGCACGGGTTCTGTTAAGATAGAGTTAACGAAAGAGATTAGTAATTTTATGCTCTATTGGGATTTTTGCATTTTTTGAGTCTCTCGGGGAAAGTTATTCTGGAGAAATATGATCTAAAGGATGCTTGTAAAGTATCAACGGAAGCTTCCAATTGAGCGCTCGAATCTGGGAAAGTATCACTTCGAGTATCTATATCAAGTCCATTAAAAACTTAACGTATCACTGGCAACAGGTGGGACTAGAAATGCTGAAATGGAAAGTCGTGGTACGGCGATACGGGGAACGGGTTAACGACATCTCCTCATTTTTCCAGGTTTTCCAACCGAAAGCTGTAATTTCTCCTGGATTCATTACGTTCTCGCGGTGGGTAATCAGATTCCTTGTGCGTTATTAGTTGTCTAATTAGTTTTATCGTTAGCGAGATGCGAGTCCGCGGTATCTGGAGCTTTAGAATCACGTGATATAAAAGTCGTGCGTCGCTCAGACATCCGCGTCGGTTGGTCCGATCTTAATCGATCCTTTCTACCGAGTGAAGTAAGTCCATCTTTCATCCGGCTCGTGTTCCGAGAGGTATTCCGGGAAAATGAGTTGCAGAAAAAGCAACCTTACTTCACCTGCTATTCGAAGAGCCGTGTTTTGTGGGCCGCTGTGACTCTCGCGGCGCGTATAAGGCCCAGAAGAGGCAATTAAAGCATAACCGATTAAATCAAGCACAGCAAGCTGTACGTCTCTTGTCCCTCCCAGGCAGGAAATATTTCCATCCAAAAGAACTACTGCTCATTTAATCCATAATTCTGCATTCGCTGTATACATTTAAATCTGCCCAGGGACATAAGAATCTACAAACAGAGCCCAAACCCGCTAAAGTTTATGCTCGAATACACAAAGGAGGAACATCTAGATGAGACAGGAAGATATATCAAAATCTAAGTTTCCTAATGGAAATGCTTCCTAATTAATGCAACTCTACTTCTCCATTTCCTGCAAGTTTGCCCCCCAATGTGGAAATTTCGAACTCTCCATATACTCTGACGTTCATGTTTGTGCCACACAATCCGCCATTTTGCCAGAAAAGCATCTCCTACATCTCTTCCCAGAATTTAAAAAAAAACTATTAAAAAAAATCCATTAAACAGTTGAAACGCTCCAAAAAGCGACCCACTCCATAAACAGCAAATCAAAACCCCCCGCCCACCCCTCTCCCCCCATCCTCTAAGAATAATAAAGCCCTAAAAAAAAAAAGCAAGAAATCCAAAATGTCCGACCGGTCCCGCCCGGCGTCTCCTTTTTCATCATTCCCAGAAAACCGGAGGACGCCTAGAGAACTCAACCGTTCTCTCCGTTCCTGCAAGCCCGGCACGGAAAGAGGAGCGCTGCGGAGTTACGTAAATTAAAGCCTCGGCTATACAGGGCAGAACGTGGCACCCGGTCCGAGCAGCATCGTGCTCGACCGCGAAGAGAGACGGGAGAGGCGAGGAACGGCCGAGGGCAAAGAGAAAGAGAAAGAGATGCAAGACATGCGGGCGGTTAAGCGCGCACGCACACGTATAGCCGAGGGAAAGAGAGAAAGGCGGAGTCACGCGAGTATAGCGAGGAGGAGAGAGAGGCCAATAGGCGAGTGCAAGCGGCGAGGGGAGGGCCGAGAGAAGGAGAGACGGAAAGTCGCGAGTGCAGCGATGTATAGCCGGGTCTGCCGTGCCAATTGGCTTTCTCCGATAACTTTCATCCACCGTACAGGCTCTTGGACTCCTCCGTGCCTGCCCCCCACCCTATCGCGGGCATTTTGCTTTTCTTTGCCACTTTTCTTTGTTTCTTTCCCGCGGATTACGCGCGGCCACCACTTTCACTGCCGTCGGTCCCGATCCTAATCGGTCGAGAGAGAGAGAAAGGTGGCTGGATAAGGGGGTGGAATGAAAACCCGTGGGTGGGACTCGAGATGCATCGGGGGTCTTTTGAGACGTTTTGGATTGATTGGTTGATTGATTCGTTTAATTTATATAATTTATTGAATTAATTAGCGAACGTGTCGGGTATTTGCGCGAATCGAAAGAGGGATTAGAAAGTGTGAGAGTGGCGTAGAGGAATGAAAGTGGATGGGATGCAAAGATAGGGAATTAGGTGTCTTTTGGATCTGCCCAATTACACCTGCCGTGTCGCGGTATTTCCTATGGGCACGGAGAAACGATGGACCTCGTTCGACGATTTAAGGATAGCATTAACTCGCAGAAGCGATAAAGGGAACTCGTTCGGAAGCATTAATTAATAACTTTCATAACCTATATTACGGACCGGACCCCTAACTCCAGGCAGTCCAGGGATTATCTCTTCGTTACGAATTAAGCTTTCATGCGCTCCATATCGTGTCTGCGTTGCTCGCGTTAAATCAACAACGAGGAGCGTATTTATTTTGCATGCTGCGAGAAAAAGGGGAGTTCTTATCACGGACACTCACACGCCGTACTGTGCGACGTCCATTTGTTAGCTATTTTTGAAGCGAAATTCGTATGTCACGCACGTGTTAAGAAATGGGGGCGTAGCGAAAAGTGAAACGCTTATTTTATTTTATTCTTTTCACAGTCAATTCCTATTTATACTCATCTGCGAGAATCAGCGCGTCATTCTTTCAGTTAATAATTGACATTAAAACTGAAGTAAACCTGAAATATAAAATTCACATTTTTTTGGTGCACATCCTCGTTAGTCATTATCTCAATGAGCTACTTATACATCTTTTTTTCCACCATTATAAGGTATTTCTAAATGATATCTAAACGTGGTCACGAACTTTTTCGTTCATGGTTCCAGTGCAATTGCTCTAACGAGCTACTTGTTCATTTTTATATCCCCCGCACTGATCTATATACTAACTGAATAGCAGATATCCTACTAAATGGCGTGCCGTTTTGAAGGCACATAGTTATGTGCACTTCAACTAATATTGTAGTATTTGTGCATGCGTCAAAACTTTTGCACATGCGCACACGTTACTTCTTTAGTATCGCTACCCATCTGTAGTTGGCGCTGGTGTACCTCGAATTCGGCAATGTCGTCTCCGTATGGAACAAATACGTATCAGTTATCCAGTTAGTGTATAGATCAGTCATCCAGCGTTACAGTATATTTCTAAAAAAATATATGAACGTGGCCAAGATGATTTTTGGATTTTAAGGTTATATCGAGGAGAAAGATCCAAAAGGTTCCAAAGGGAGGGCCATGGTTGCTGGGCAATTACTTCAACGAGCTACTAATTCATTTTTATATTCACGAAATGGATCTAAAAAGTGAACACGGCCGAGAAATTTGTTGGTTTTTGGGGTTATGGCGAGGAGAAAGATGCACAGCATTCCAGAAGAGGGTCCGTGGTTCCGGGGCAAATAGTTCGCTTCACGTTCCTCGGGCGGGTTTTTCGGAGTTCCTTGGGGATCTCTCGGACGATAAGCTCTCGGCAGTCGCTAGAGCCTTCGGCTCGTACGGTAGAAAGAACACCGTTACGTTTGCACCGCCTCGGCGGGGGCCGAGGGCGAAGGTGGATGGACAGGGAGGAGAAGCCTCGCAAAACGGAGACCGCCTCTTCTCTCCGCTTTTCTCGCCGGCCGCCTACCTTTCTCCCTCGGACGCGGCTCTTCGCCTCGCTTTATCGGTCTTGGACTTATTTCGCGCCGAGCCGAGCTTATCCACCGCCGAAGTGGATCCGGTTCCCTTGGAAAGACCTGTTACGTCTACCGAAAGTAATATGCCGCTTAATCGCGTCTATTTTTAATTGGTCAGGAATTATGCGCCTCCTCGGGGGAATTAAGGAAAGGAATGCCGCCCCTCTTTCTCCCTTTCAAAAGAGTAAATATTCGCCGGTCGGATTATGGGACCGATCGAGTTCGACAAAGTTTTATCCACCCTCGGAAACTCGTTTAAAAGTCGTTATCTCAGGGCATAGTTGATAACTATGCCGCATACCTTCTTATGCCCCTGTAATCGGGGAACTATCAACTCGCCCCTGATATGCACTTAGGCCATGCTTGTTTTCACTCCTCGGCTCTGTTACAATCCAAGTAAGGTGTCACAATTCCAGCATGACTGGAGAAATTCTGAAATGGAGAGACTTCTCTGGACCAAGATCGCTTTCTTCCAAATAACGTTTAAAAGTGGGGTAGAATCATCCCTCTTTCGCTCGGTTTAAAATAACCCTTCATAATTCATGAGGCCTCTCTTCGTTGGATAGGAGGGAAAATATATATCCCATACACCCCAACTTCTGCAAAACCGCGTCTCAGCTCAGGGGTCAACGATCAGCGGTGAATGTAACCCCGCGGTGACAACGAGCCACCCCCGTGGATATCTTACCAACAAAATGGCCGCCGCTCCCCATTTGAGGGTGCTCTCAGCGAGTCCACTTATCGGCCGGTATTCCTTTTTCCCGTGGTGCAGGTTCCCTTGATTCTAAATAACCCTTCATAATTCAGTAGTCCACTCCAGTAATCGACGGGATAGTTCTTACGGTCCTGATCTTTCAAAAAGTGCAAGTTCAGAACCGATTTTCCACCTCCCCTGGTCCACTTTTCTATCTACCGTAACAAAAACATATATCTTGTACCCGACACGAAATTTCTGCAAAAATCTCGCCCGGACTCTGTGGTCAACGACCAACGACAATACTTGGCAACAAAATGGCCGCCCTCCCGTTCGAGGGTGCCCGCGGCCAGTTTCCCTCTTTCCGGCGCGGTGCATGGAGCCCCGTTGGGGTTCGATCCAGTGGTTCGGGCCGAGGAGGGTGGCGCGATCGATCCCTCATCGGCGCCCCAGTATGCGGGCGGACGCAGAGCAGGTAAGACGCGAGAGGAGCCGCGGGATTCTCGGGCCCCTGTACCCGCGGATGATCCCCAGGTTGAGTCGCGCTGGGTTCAACGTCCTGCCGGGCAGCGCACCCGAGTCGAGCCGAGCCGAGCTCTCGGGCAGGCGAGCGAGCGAGCGAGCGAACGAGCGAGCGAGTAGCCATCGAGCCTCGACCACATATAC